TGACATAATGTCATTTTGGCTCCCCTCTTTCACAATTCGATATGAAATTGCTGCATTGTCACTTAAGTCTTTGTCCACTGCGCTTACGGAGAATATTGATTTGCCAGCAACGTTATTTTCGGACAGGTAAAAGTGTAGTGGATTTATGGGAAAATGTGGTCTGTTGTCATTTACATCTGCTACCTGGATGTTCAAAGTTTTAAAAGTAGATAAAGGGGGCTCTCCACAGTCGGTCGCTTTTATTGTCAATTCATATTGAGATACCTCCTCTCGGTCCAAAAGAACTTTAGTGACAACGGAATAAACGTTCTCTTTATATGATGGTTTTAGTTCAAACGGTAAGTCTGAGGTTAGGCTGAGAATAATTTTCCCATTCACACCAGAATCTTTATCTCGCACACTGATGAGTGAAATCATTGTGCCGGGCTTTGAATCCTCAGACACTGTATTTGAAAGCGATGTGATTTCAATTTCTGGTGGATTATCATTGATGTCTTTTATCTTTATAATTAATCTGCACTCACCAGTTAATGGAGGTGTTCCTTTATCTGATGCCTCGATATCCAGTTTATAAACGTCGTTTTCTTCATAGTCCACTATTCCCTTTATTCTTATTTCCCCACTTATTTTATCCAGTTCAAATATATCATAGACTTTTTTCTTGAGTGTTTTTCCAAGGCTGTATACAATTTCACTACTGGAACCTTCATCTGGGTCTGTCGCATTCATTCTAAATATTGAAGTCCCTACTTGAACATTTTCATCTATTTCTATTTGGTAGCTCTCTTGACTAAATGTTGGACGGTTGTCATTTGTGTCAAGAACGATTATAGTAACATTTATGGTGCCTGATCGCGGAGGTTTTCCTCCATCAACTGCAGTGACAGTTAACGTGTATTTGTTGATTTTTTCTCTGTCCAACGATTTCTTCAGCACCAAAAATGGTATTATATCCTCATCGCTCTGTCGGATTGTTACTTCAAAATTTTCGTTTGAGCTTAAAGTATATGTACGAATTGCGTTAATTCCAGAATCGGGGTCCCGAGCAGTATGCAGCTGAAATCGTCTTCCGGCCATGGTTTGTTCAAAAATTTCAAACCTCTGTTCTTTTTCGGGGAAAACAGGGGAGTGATCGTTAATATCAATAATTTCTACAACTACGTAGTGTATTTCCAAAGGGTTTTCTGCTATAATTTTTAGCTCCATTATGCATGCCCCACTGCCCAGGCAAAGCTCCTCTCTGTCGATTTTCTTAAACAAATATAGATCCCCGTTGTCCTGGTTTACATCAAAAAACGCATCCTTGGATTCAGACACAACACGGAACCGCCGGCTGGTCAAAGAGCTGATATCAAGACCGAGATCCTTTGCAACATTTCCGACAACAGTTCCGTCTTTCACCTCTTCTGCAACAGAGTATCTTATTTCTGCCGAAGCCTCTTTCCCGAAAAACAGCAGCAAAGCTACATGGAGAATAAACCAGACCCCATTCCTTCCACGACTTCGTTTTTCGTTCTCCATTGTAATCAAACAAAAGATTTAAAAACAATGTTTGGACTACCTAGCTCATTGCCTGTTGTAATATAATGTATAAAGCGCGATTTGGAAAGATTGCGAGCTCGAGTCAAGCGTCTTCTCTGCTTATAGCAGTGGCAAACAAAAGCTTTGTGAGAGGATGGGTAAAGTGGTCTCCAGTTTGTCAATGTAATACTGACACCCAGAGGTTACTGGAGAAGTATATAGTCATAAATTACAGTGTTTAAAA